CATATTTAAGGGTTTTCCACCTATGCTGATGCTTTTTTTTATTAAATAAGGTCTGCAAAAATTCACAAAATGAAATTTAGACGCTTTTATTACCCAATATGGTTCAGCTGGTGTCACGACATGATGTCTTTTTTATTTGTTCTCATAAGTAAAAAATAATTTGTTTTAACATTTCCAGCTTGGAATATCTGAGAGCCTCTTTCTGCTGTAATAAAATCCAATATGGCTGCCGAATGTAAAACAGCATGGTGATAGTGGTAGCATAATGTTTATTGTTCTCTTGGCAGAACAAACTGCATCTGCTTGCGAAGTACATCGGTATCAAAATGGTTTGTTTGTTGTTGGAGGGATTGAACTGACATGAATTTATATACATCATTTTGTATCAGATGTTCTTTAAGGAACAACCATCCATCCATCCATCTTCCGTCAGGCTTATCCCAAGCCTGGTCGCGAGGGCTCGCTGGTGCCATCTCCAGCTGTCTACGGGTGAGAGGCGCGGTACACCCTGGACAGGTCGCCAGTCCATCTGAGTCTTTAAGGAACATCTACCATGAAATCGTCTGTACCAAGAAGTTAGTTTACTTGAATGAGGGTTCATAATGCATCAGTTTTCATAAAGGTTATCAGCCTCATGCAGGGATTAGTACCAAATTAAGTAGGAATAAAGTTTTTTAAAAATATACAATAAATTTGATTATTTGTGAGATTTTACCTTTTGATGATCACATACTTATATGAACACAAAGTCTTGAACAATTCATAACTACAATGAAAAACTAACTTAAAATGCATGAGTATGCAGTGGTTTTGTTGCAGGCACATTTTGTAGAGAAAATGGAAAAACGTTAAAATAAAAATAGATAAAACTTTTTCAAGTATTTTAATTCATCCTTATTTCTCTATAATGTAGTCATGAAATTAAACTTTACAATTACATATATTCAGTAACGGTGGCTGGGGACAGTTGCATCATGTCTCCATTCAGAAACATGCTGCTTTATCTTGGTAACATTGGAATTGCACAGGCTCACCTTAACAGAAGACATATTCATGTTTTTGAGTTTTGTTTGTCTGAACAAATTACAACTTAGTTGGATTGACTCATTGCTTAGTTTACTTAAAATTTTTATGGCTAGCATGTAAAAAAAAAAATCTGCATGTGTAACACTTGTTGCAACATTTGTTTTTAAGAAAAGTTTGGCGAGTAAATATGTCTGTGCTGAAAATCAGTTTTAAAAACTTTTTTAAATTTTTTTTATTCAAACTGGCTTTTGGGATATCGTGAATATCTTAAGTTATGTTACAAATTTCCTGAATAATATGTTTATTAAGACACAGGTATTGGACTGAACTCAACTGGGACAAGTGCAGCAGCTTACGTTTGGTTAAATGAATACTGCAAAACAAAATCAGCCCATGTAATCCTCTTTAAATGGTATGGGCAATTAGCAGACAGGTGTACGTTTCATATGTAGATAAATGGTTGGAGTTGACCCAATAGCAGTTGAGAAAAGGTCTCCTCTGCTTTTAGTAAATCTTCAATGATGAGCAGGAATTAAGATATGCTGCCCCCTAGGGACCAAAAAAGGAACATGTATTTTAGCACAACTCGACGCTCTGTATTTTCTGTTTATATAGTTTTAATGTTTTCTCTGCACAAGGACAAACCCTGACCTTCTAAAACCATGACCTTTGGCTTATGGAGGAACAGGAGAGTCACTGGAAAAGAAATACATCCATATCAAATTTTAACTATTCAATTATAAATCTAACTTATAAGCATTTTGAAATTGCACATTTTTGATTTAATCATCAAAGAGAATTTGTATTCATGTTTATACTCTATCAATAAATGCTGGAATTTGAAAATGTATTTTTCACCTTGCTTTTCCAAATCCTTCTTGAAATGGCATTTTGTTTTTACTTTAGCCTTTCCATTTAACATTTTTGTGACCGTTATGGTCCCTGTGCATTTTCCTAACAGTTTCTCTTTTCTATTTAGTTTTTGTGTGACCCTTCTGGTCCCTAAACACACTGGAAACAAAGTCAAACCAATCACATTTGCTCTTTGAATGTGACCAACTCTCTTTTTGGATTGACAGCCACACATGCACTGCAAAAACGATCTAGAAACAAGACAACATTTCTTAAATAAAGTGTATTTACTCCTAATTTAAGTAGAAAAATAAGATGATCTTCCAATGGAATGAGTATATTTACTCTTAAAATGAGATAATTAGATAATATGCGCTTGAAATAAGACAATGCAGTTGTTTTCTCTTATTTTAAATATAAATTGTTTTGTTCCATTGGCAAAGTTTCACACTTACCTCCTCAATTCAAGAAAAAATGCACTTATTTTAAGAAAAAATCACTTTTTCTAGTGTGGATAACAGCATGGCAGCTATTGTCAAATGTTTTTTTTTTTAAATACAATGTAAAAAAAAAGAAAATATACATACACATATATATATATATATATACATATATATATATACATATATATATATACATATATATATGTATATATATATATATATATATATATATATATATATATATATATATATATATACATATATATATACGTATATATATATGTGTGTGTGTATATATATACATATATACATATATATGTATATATATTTATATATATATTTTTATATATATATATATATATATATACATATATATATACGGTATATACATATATATGTACATATATATATATATATATATATATATATATATATATATATATATATATATATATATATATATATATATATATATATATATATATATATATATATATATATATATATATATATATATATATATATATATATATATATATATAAATATATAGATAGATAGATAGATAGATAGATAGATAGATAGATAGATAGATAGATAGATAGATAGATAGATAGATAGATAGATAGATAGATAGATAGATAGATAGATAGATAGATAGATAGATAGATAGATAGATAGATAGATAGATAGATAGATAGATAGATAGATAGATAGATAGATAGATAGATAGATAGATAGATAGATAGATAGATAGATAGATAGATAGATAGATAGATAGATAGATAGATTAAATAAGATTTAAGATTTGTGTTTTTTAATTCTCCATTTAGCAATAGGTTTTCAAAAGAAATTTTTGAGATTGCGGTTTTAATAACGAAGTCATAAATACAATTCACAACTCATCTTTGAGAATTAATTTTAAAACACTCAATTACAAAACATTTTTTAAATGAAATTGTATGCTTGAAATGTTAAATCAGAAATGGTTGTATTGCTTTTCAGTGACTCTCCGCGTCCTCCATGTTTGTTTGGGTCAATAATAGCCTGTTAAAAAGCCAACGTCTGAACCTCAGTTCATCCACAATGAAACAGGAGAGGAATAGTGCAGAGAATGACAGTCAGAGGACTTAACAGCAGCTGATGGAAACTTGGGTGAGTGGGAGCTAACTTTCCCCCCCAGCAGGGATCACACAAATATAGTTCCCAGTGTGTATTCTGATGGCTCACGTTGAAATGCAAACGAGCCTTACGAGGAAGCACGTGTGACCACTTGTGTAATTGTTTAATAGAGCTTAAAATGCAGCAGGACACAGAGGTGGGGAGAGTGCCCCAAAATGTATCTCAAATTAGAGTAAAATAGTATTTGGTTCCATTTTATTTAAGCACTGAATTACTAATCAACATGCTACCCATCAAAAATGATGAAACTACACAAAATATAAACTCATATGCAAAATTCTGATGCTTTATGTATCACAGGGATATTTCAGGTGGAAGACACGGTTTTCAAAATATATTTCATACATTTTTTGTTATAAAACGTACGTAAATCCCTTTTTTTTTTTTTTTTTTACTTGCTGTACAGGTTAGGGTGAGTTATTTCCAGTAGCAAGATCCAGTATATTTTCAGTTTACCTCCAAATGACACAACAGGATCAGCAGAAGGAAATAAGAATACCTCAAAAAAGAAACTTGAGTATAAGAAAACTTTAAAAAAAATTTAACTGTAAATTTAAACTTGAATTTAAACTGTAGGTGTGTGTCTCTCTGGTTCATTTTTATTGGAAACAAGCTTGTTCTTTGCTGAGGATGTTAATTAAAATAGATAGAGGGAGTTTTTACTTAAGTATATTGCAGTTAAACTAGACATACAAATATTAAGTTACTCGTGTAAATGTAACTAGTTACTGCCAGAGATGGGAAGTAACAAAGTACAAATACTTCGTTACTGTACTCAAGTAGATTTTTCTGATATTTTTACTTTACTTTACTACTTATTTTTATGGCGACTTTTTACTTCTACTCCTTACATTTTTACACAAATATCTGTACTTTCTACTCCTTACATTTAAAAAAATTGTCTCATTACTTTAGTTTTGAATCATTTCAATGGAGTTACGGTTATTATTTTTCACGTCATCAATACCAAATTCAATCTAATTGGATGGGAATCTACGTTGCATTTGACGCACCACTACAAGATGAATCGACAGATTCGGCGGTATTCATTCGCGGCAAATCATTGCAGCTTGGTGGCGGTGGCGTTAGCATAGTAGCATGGACGACGAGATGATTGAAAATGAACACATCGGAGATCTAGTCCTATTGGCAGACATCCATTAAAAATGTAGGCAACGGCATGAAAAAAGTGGTTTCTACTTTTACTTTTATACTTTAAGTAAATTTACAAGCCTGTACTTTGTTACTTTTACTTGAGTAAAGAAGTTTAATCAATACTTCCACTTTTACTAGAGTATTTTCTAACACAAGTATCTGTACTTTTACTCAAGTACAGAAAGTGAGTACTTTTGCCATCTCTGGTTACTGCCTACCTCTGCCTGGAGATCATGAGAAATATTCTGGGTATTCAGAGTTAAAGTAGAGATGGCCCCTAATGTGTACAGATGCTAACATACTTCTTATGGTTTTCAAACCAGGAAAGAAACAAGACCACCATCCAAAATGCCACCTGAAGGACTTTATTTGAAAAGTTACTGAACTTCTGCTGGATTTTTGTCTTTCAAACAAACAGGCTTTTCTCATTACTAAAACTAAAACATGCACCCACAAACACAGACACACACATCTGATCTAATGTTTCCAATCATCTACTGTCCACAGTCCGTCATAAGCCCTGTCCAGGGTTTCTCTCAGCCGAATAAACAGCAGGTCCTGCAGACAGTCCCAAGTCACCCACACCCTCTCCACCATGCTGTACTGGCAGTAACCCATGGCCAAACCAAAGCCCACATCCGTCACATAGTGCCTAGCGAGCAGCAGCCTGGAAAGGCTGACCAGGGCGGCCCAGCCGAGCACCAGGACCCTCATGGAGGCCGTGTCTGCCAGCTGGGCGAGGAAGAAACGGGCACACATGGCCGCTCTTGAAGCGTGGCCTGAGGGGAAGGAGTAACGTTCTACGAAGAAGGTTGAGAGGATATCGGAGCGGTTCTGGGCGGGTGTTCGGCGTCTCACTAACATCTTCACAGCTCTGACCAGCATCAGATCCAGAATGAGAGCTTTGAAGAAGACAGAAGGACATCAAAATTGGGGGTTATACAGATTTGCAATGGTTATACAGATCAGTTTCATTAATAACACTTTTCTAGTGCATCCCTGTTGGGTGTTTGACATTAGACTGTTATGACCAGAAAAGCCAGAGCAGCACAGAGGTTGTTTTCTGAGCCAGATGATCTGTTACTGATCTGAACATTAGAAAAAGTTGCTCCAGCAGCGGGTAAAATGGCAGTCTTAAGGATTTAAAGGGGAAAATTCCATTCAGGAATTTAAAGGGAGCTTCTTAAAGAACGGAAAGACGGTAAAGTTACTGCATCAAGAAGAAAAACATCTCTCAAGTCAAGTGACTCCTAGAGATAACTTCAAAAATATCTTATAATGGACAACAGAAAAAAGAAGAATGTGGCTGTAGCTCAGTGGTCTAAAGTCCTAATTTCAGATTAAATTAAAGTTTGCATTTCATTTAGAAATCAGCAGAGTACTGAAGACAGATAGCCAATAAACTAAAGGACCAATCTGAATAATTAATAATGAGGATGGGAGAACAAGGGGTGATTTTTTGTTGTTGTTTTTACTTTTATCATTTACTATTAGGGGTTTGGTGGTCTAGTGGTTAGACCTTTGCGCTTAGGTCCTGGAGGTTGCGTCAAATGCAGATAGTGAATTTCCCCATTCTTGGACAACAAAGAATTTACAGATTTACACGTAATCTTTTCTTTATTTTTGATATTTACTGAAATTATGGATTATTACATTTTCTTATGTTAATTGTTCACAAAAAATAATACCATTTGGGACAGAAAAAGAAAACTATTTTTAATATGTATTTTCTTTCCCAGGTTTAAAATGTATAGTAGATCTATTTTCAATCTATTATTTATAACTTAAATAGGAGCAGCATTGGGCTATCTGATGGTGGTTATGATAAATAAACAGAGTTAAGAAAGATTTATTTGATTTATGAGACTTTTTTAAGAGACAAATGTTTACCCATCCATGTCTCTGGATATATTGTCTTTCGTTGTATTTTAATTATCATTTTATGGGTGTGATAAATGCCCATTATGTTTTTAGGGTATTTCATGAATAAAGTTGACTGACACTCCTTTGTGTTCCAATAATACAGGCAAAGGTATTTTACTAAAGCACAACAGGATTGTTTAAAGTGATCAGTCAGTAAATATGATCCAAACATGCCAGTGTGCGCTGCACCAACGCAACCTTTGGCCTCCTCCCTGCTGTTTGTTGGTCAGGAGGCGCAAACCCCTTACTGTACATTATGTGACCCATGGGGAGACCGATTTAGCTCGTTGTGCTATTTAGACTATCTTTATCTTTGCAAGGCTTTGGTCAGACATCAGCAGAGCGCAGCAATGACTGCCAAAGGTCTCATTGTCTTAACGGCGCATTTGTGCGTAAAAGCGCGCGCCGGATTTTTATATAAATTATGAAGGCAGATAAAAAACAAAACACAAGGCAACATGAAATCTAACTGGAATGTCAATAATGTTAGACTAATTTAGTGAACTGAATTACAGTGGTTTGTGTGGAGATGGAAAAATGAATTGGGAATGATTTAGACCGAGGGGAACACCTTCCACTCCAAATGTTCTCCTCACCCAGAGTTAAATTCAGCATGACCTCCTGCTCCTCCACGCTGTCCCCGCGGCACAGATTGTACACGGTGCCGACCAGCCACGGGATGACATGGCCGGAGAACTCCACCAGTCGAACCAGGGGCCTTATGCTGCCCAACGGCGACTTCTCACAGGCGCAAACTCCGAGCTTTTTGGAAAGCCACAGATCCACTGCCAGCAGGAACCGGAGCGTTATGGCAAACAGGGGCTGGTTCAGGCTGACCGAGAGGTCTTCAGGGGAGAAATAAGGGCAGCTGGAGGCCCGGCGGCGGCCAAGGTGGCAGTCCAAGGATGCTCTGCCTCCAGCCGCGACTCCTCGGCAGCTGTTCCGTCTGCTCACCGGGGAGGACATGCTTCCTCTGGCGGAGCGTCAGCGGTCTGTGTGCCTCTGAGTCCAGCTGCGCTTAGACGCAAACCATCCTTCAAACTGCTCGGTCCAAACACGGGTTAATGTGTCAACCCACGGACCACGTGGGTTCACTACACTAGATCTGATTCAGACACAGAATGAGGCACCAAGCTTGTTTTCTTTATTAGGATTTATCAGCTGTGTTTTTTTTAAATGCATGAAGGCTTTTTGCGTTTTTAAAAGTATATTTTGGGGTTTGGTTTTATTCTTTCAAGGCAAAAACTTTGCAAAAGTATTTGGGGTCAATTTTACTCAGAGAAAAGAGTCATTTGTGTTTTTAAGGGGAAAAAAAACCTTATTTTGCTAATCTGAGTTTGGGTCAAATAGATTGATCCGCTAACCCTGAGATACCTGCTAAATAAAATATTTACTGTGAAAAATATCGACTGTTAAGTCTATGGGATAAAAATAAATCCATAGCCTGGGTTATTTGGTTTAGAGTTAATTATCTATCACTTCATTTTCCTGTCTGTAGATATTTGATCAGTGCAGGAGGAGCTGGTTTCTGCAGGATTAAATGTGAAGCAGTGGCTTTATCAGAGTTCATGCAGGGTAAACATGATTACAGACAATCGTGTGATTCAAACGTTGCTGCTTTGCTTTTAAATGAGGTGTCCACGTTTAAATGTCAGACGTGAGACGGAAACGGAAAAGGCTGTCTGAAGTCTCCAAAAGGATGGAGCAGCCTATGAAGATGGGGTTTTCCAACACTGCAAAAAAAATTTGAAATCTAAGTAACTCCTTTGTTCTTAAAATACATGCATTTTGTCTTGAATTGATAAGGACAGTGAGTAACTTTGCCAATGGAACAAGACAATTTACATTTAAAATAAGAAAAAATAATTGCTTTGTCTTATTTCAAGTGCATATTATCTACTTGTCTTATTTTAAGAATAAAAATACTCCTTCCTTTAGCAGATCATCTTATTTATCTAGATTAAGGGTAAATAGTGCTTATTTCTAGATCATTCTTGCAGCACAAAGAAGATAAATGGCGTAAAAAGTTGTTCAGGGAGAAAAAGACTTGCGTGAATTCTGGAGCATGGAGGTGGAGGTGTGATGGTTGGGGGATATTTGTTAAAGCAACAGAGCCTGGTTAGATCACCATGTCGGAACCGTGTTTCGGGGGGATTGTTGAGGAAAATATGGGACCAAACAGAAGCTGGTGCAGAAGAACCGGATCCAAAACATCCTAGCAGATCTGCCAGGTTCTGGTTCTGGGCCGGGAAAGAGTTCTATGCAAAGTGAAAGGGGAACTTTAATCAGATTGCTGTTAATGAAGTTGTTTTAGATTATTTCTGGTAAGACCAATGGTCATGATGTTAAGGTTTTCAATAAATAAATAAGTTAAATTTCTTATTTAATAACATTGATAAAAAAATATATGACGTATCATTTAGTAAAGAATCGGATGTTCTCATTTCGGAAGTTCGTGCGTCAAACCTGAGCGCACCATCCGACCGCGCTCTCCTCCAAAAACCAAGACCCACCCCCGGCGCGGCACCACGCACCGTGCTTCACAGTTAACCATCCGCCTCCTCTCTGTCTCTCTTTCAAGTTTCGTCTCTCAGTCCAACCCACGTCCACATCCACGCTTCCATCATGCCGGGGCTGCTGCTCGGAGACCCGTTTCCTGATTTCGAAGCGGAGACCACCGCTGGTAGAATGAAACTCCACCAATATCTCGGTGATTCGTAAGTAAAGAGCTGCTGATTATTGATTGCATGTCAGATTTCACAGAGTTGGAGAGAATCCAATCAGCATGATAAGGAAGGAGGAAGTTTTAATGTGTGACTGAGCGTTTCTCACTTCTGCATTCTTAAACAGATAAATCTATACAAACACTAAAGAATTATGTGTCTCAGGCATCAGAGATTAACAGCAAAATAATCTCTCAAACTTATATTACTCATAGTTGAGAGGCTTCTCATAATCACAGCGCTTACCTCCTGGAAAAAAGCCCCTGTGTTATCAAACTAAACCAGGCCACATCCTGTCAGTTTTCCTTGGTTATAGTAACTATAGATGCACAATAAGCTGTTCTTTCATTATCTAACATGATTCCGGTGCTGAAAACTTTTGTACAGCCCTTTTCATCATCCAGGTCCTTTTTTCAGCGGTTCTGTCTCCTTGCTCATTCGGGTCATGGCAACCACAAAATATCTCTGTTAAGCTTGTGTTGTGGTTAAAATTTGGCCTCATTTTTGATTCTAGGAAACATTAGTGTAAGGAGTTTATAATAGTGTCAAGATGCTAAAGGGGCCTAATACAGAAAGCATCATTCTGCCACCTCCGTGCTTCACAGTTATCTGAGGTCTACATTGTGGCTAGCTTCTACTGTTGCCATCTAAGCAAAGCAGAAACATTCACATGGCTTTGATAGCCTATTGTGTAAAACTTTCTTCTGTTAAACTGATATCTTTTTCATGATGTTCTTAAACAGGAAACCTTACAAATCACTTTTTTTATTATCTCAAATTATCTACATGTGAAAGTAGCTGAAGATAAATCCTGTGATAAATCCTGTGAAAGGAAAGTATGAAATTAGTTCATAGGTCAGAACAAAAACCAGTGTAAGACTTAGGAGGCCAAAATGTTTATCTTCTGTTCAGCAAGAAATCAGGTCACATCCTGTCTTTCAAATGTTAGATACTTATCTTTTTTTCCCGTACGTCAAAAAAAGCACCTGAAACCCTTCTCCAACTGGTTTCTAAAATGCCCATGTCCCCTACAGATGGGGTATCTTGTTCTCCCACCCCAAAGATTACACCCCGGTTTGCACCACGGAGCTGGGTCGAGTGGCCAGGCTGAGCAGCGAGTTCAGCAAACGCGGCGTCAAACTGATCGCTCTGTCCATCGACAGCCTGGAGGATCACTGCGGCTGGAGCAAGGTGACATGAAGACCAAGAGCGCCCTGTTGCCATGTTCTAACCACAAAACCTTGAGCTTTCTCAGTAGTTAATCATTGTAAAAGTGTTGCACGCATTCAGTGAAGTAATCTAATTAAAAGTCCATCTTAATATAGAGACACTATGGTATGAATACAAGCCGACGAAAAGGCCCAAGACAAAAATAAAACTGTTTCACCCAGATGGTGAACATTGTTCTTAGCGTAACACAGTAATGGCAGCATCATGATCTGGGGGTGCCGGAGTTCCTCAGAGACAGGGATGCTAGATAGAGTTATATATAGACAGAAATGGAAATAAACCTGCTAAAGAACTGATAGAGCACATGTTCCCCTTCAGGCAGAAACATCAGAAATATTTGAACTAGAATGGTTGAGAAAAAAATCCAATTTATTGATTTTAGAATTGCCTAGTCAAAGTAAATACCAAAGTTTATTTTATAGTTTGCGATAATAGGTCTTAGCTTTTATTTAATCAAATTGTTAACCAGATAAATGACTGCAGACTCTAAAACGTGTATAAACACATATATGTATTTTTTTTTTTTTTTGCCATTTGCAATTCATCTCACACGGCAATAAATTTGTTTTCATTTTATATTCTAAATGTTTATTTATTTAGAAATTTTAATTTACTAAAATCTTTAGAATAAATATTTCATTTCAAAGGCATTTTATTAACCATTACATCACTAAATTATGGTACAAATATTTTCTTCAATTTTCCAGTGAATATTTGATCTAATAATGTTTGTTTTTACTTCAACAAGGATGTTTCATGTTGCACAAATTTGTGCATACAGGAAAGTTCCAGCTCTTTAGTCCAGGTATCAGCCTGGTTTATTCTGTGGGGCTTCTTTCTGATAGGACATCCTGGCTTATAACTGTGAGAAGTCTGAGTGCTGCAGGCTGCCCTTTCCCATCATCGCGGACAGCAAACGTGAGCTGGCAGTCTCTCTGGGTATGCTGGATCCTGATGAGAAGGACAAAGACGGCCTGCCGCTCACCGCTCGCTGTGTGAGCATCACAGCCTCATGTGCTTCATTCCAAAACCCTCAAACTGTGCCCTGAGTTAAAGCGTTCAAACCCGCTTCGCTTCCTCCTCTGCTTTCTATGTTTGCACAGGTTTTTATTATTGGACCTGATAAAAAGCTGAAACTGTCCCTGCTCTACCCGGCAACCACAGGACGTAGCTTCAGTGAGATCCTGCGTGTGGTCGACAGCCTCCAGCTCACAGCTGAAAGAAGAGTGGCCACGCCTGCTGAGTGGAAGGTATTTATCGCCTTATAAAACAATGCTGCCTTTCAGAATGTTAATTTACTACCATACTTTGTTGTATTTCTATGGGATGTTATGCAAAAGACCAAGACAGTGCAGTGCATTATTGTTCAAGTGAAGTCAAAAATTGTACAATAATAAATAAATTTCCTTTAGCTAACCAATGAGTGTTTGCTTTCTATGACTCATCCAATGACACTAGTTTGCACTAGATGTGGATGGAGCCAATGATCTGCATTGGATGGAGCACATGACGTGGAATAAATATGCATAAACATTAAACCGAAGCCAAGAGTAATGAGTAAACTTTGCTTTAAAAATGTAAGGAATAGAAAGTACAGATACTTGTGTGAAAATGTAATGAGTAAAAGTCAAAAGTAGGAAGAAAAATAAGTAATGGAGTAAAGTATAGATACCTAAAAAGTGTACTTAAGTACAGTATCGAAGTGTTTTTACTTCGTTTCTTGACACCTCTGAAAACACGCAGCCCACCTCCCCTTCTCATTGGTGTTCTTATGTGCTAAGGACGGGCTAAATTAGCATATCTTCTAAAGAAAGTCTGAGATATAAGGCTTAAGAAATAAGTAACATTCAAATTTAGATTCAAGTTTTACATTTAAAAAGTAAGGTGTAAATTTAGATTGAACATTTAGATTTAATATATATTTGGATTTAGCATGTGGATTAAAGACATTTTTATATTTAAGATTACAATTTGAATTTAAACGGTATATTTAGATTTAAGATTAAGAAATAGATTTACATATAAACATAACATTTATATTTAGACATAGAATGTTTTAACAGTTGTAACATATACATTTAGATATAGATTTAACACTTATGTTTAGCAT